AATGGACAAGTAGGGAAAAAAGTTAATGTCGAGCCCTGACATACTAATGTAATCAAATCAAATGCATCATTTTTTGAATTTGACATTCCCTTTGACCTTGACCTCACTTTTCTTTTTAAATTGGTGTTTAGCTCAGATTTAAATGTGACGCGCCAAGCAAAAACCTCCCTTAACGAAGAATTTTGACATTTTCAGTTTTTCATTGATTCTTGTAGAGTTTTTCTTTCTCTTTCATTTGATGTATAACATGACATATATTTCTGTGTATAAATGTATAAAATATCGCAGGACAAAGACGGAATATTTATATGACGTGCAGTGTACGCGTGTGTAACTGCATGAATTTTCATAACGTAAAATCGTAAATGACGTAAAGCTATATAATAATTTGATGATATTTAGATTATCAAACTTTTGATTTGATTCTCTTAAAAGTATCAACAATTAAGATTTTTCATCGTAATAATAGAACATAAACATTCTAAAGTATATCTTTGAGTAATTGAGAAACGAAAGACGGGTGGGGAGGGGGGGTGTCGAAATGATCGTCAAGGGAAAAAAACAAAACTCAAGACAACATCAAAAATCTTCTCTTCCTCTGGGAGATCTTCCAATTTATGGCTTTTCAATGCAATAAATGGCAGAAATCTACATCACTGCAATAGTAAAAGAAAGCAATATTTGGATAAAAAAAAAATGCTATTGTGGTAGTACAAACGACACACGTACGACTTCCTACTAGCTTGGGCTAGTGGGTTAACCCTTAAGCTTATTCGGTAAAGCACAGAGGCCTCGGGTTCAATCCCAATTAAGCAGATGCACTTAATTGTCACTGTTACTCTATCAAAGTATTTATTTTTAAAAAGTTCGAGACAGCCATTACCCCCCCCCCCCCCCCCCCGAACCCCCGGGCATTAAAAGTCTATACACTACACAGAATAGATAGAAAGTATTGTCATAGTTCATGTTTTAAATACCTGAAATTTTTAAGAGTGCGACAGGTTTTTCTTTCTATCTAAAGGAAAAATAACATTTCTTTTACCACAAGTTAACTTTTTACATGTTTTTCTTTCTGTTTTAATACTGAAGACTTTTTGGCTTACTGAAAAGATATTCTGCACCAAAGAATAAATTGTATTTGTTTCTTTTAGTAGAGTTTGATCCTTTTTTTTTTCTTCAGGTGTCGTTATGAAACGAGTCTTTAGTTTCACAAGAAGAACTTGAAAATTGTCAAACTTGTTTCCGATCCGTTTGTATAATTCAATAAATGCGTGTTTAAATCAAATCAATAAAGATTTGGTGCATCAAATGTTAAAATGTTCAATCATTATTTCTTGATAATTTTTTAACATTTGATTAATTTTTCCTGGCCTTCCTTTTCCTATTTTATATTTATGTTTAAAGTATTAAAAATAAATATATTTATATATTTAGAATTATTTTTGTAACTAAATGCGTCTGCATACTTTCAGTGAATCAGAATGTAACACCCATCCCCACTTTTTAAATCTTGTTAAATGAAAAAAAAATCCGCAATTTATATGACTGTATAAAGTTAATCATGAATTAATTTTGAACCGATCATTGTATATAAGCCGAATAACAAACCACAATACCAGAATAAATATGAATCCCACAAGTGATCACACACACACGTACACTCCACAACTTCATTTCTAGACATAGAATATAAGGCAACAGTCTTCACCAAATCCTGGGAGCCCGAAGGTCGGAACCTGGTAAAATTGGTAGCGGTCATGTGGAAATGGAACACTTACAAGCCCAAAGGGCATGTAAACTCCGAGGCATAAGCCTCCGTATTATCAAATTAAATAATACCAATAACATTAAATATACTTGTACTTAGAAGTCTTTGATTTTCCTTCTAAACAGCTTCAAGCACAGAAGAAAATTTTAGATACAGTTCTATAGGAATGAAAAACAATATTAAGGGCAAAACAATAGATTGATAGAAATTGGTTTTGTATCATCTCCTTGATGTGAAACGGCAAATAAGAATAAAATTACTAAATAAAATTCTGGGAATGTAAATATTTGTTCGGGCTAGTGTAATTAGAGGTTACAAATGCCCGAAGGACATGTACTGAGAAAAAGATTTTGTGAAGACTGAAGGCATATACTAAGCTTCACTGTTACCTTCCTGAGAAAGTACATGCACACATTATGATATATTTTAATCATATTAAATGCTAGTAGCATTTTAGTATAGGTTAAAACACGCATGTTAGAAAATGGCAACAGAAAGTAAGAAAACGGGTAAAATGTTCTTAATATTCTTCGATCATCGTAAACGGGGGGGGGGGACTCAGCTATGAACATTTACTCTTAATTGATTATCTGAACTTATTAAACAAGAACAAGGCATACATGTATAATCTTAAACTGTAACTTTTGTTATTTTTTTTAAAATAACTAATTGTTGTTATTTATATACATTTTTTTATACACGAGAAGCTGTATGTATGGGTTAGTTGATCAAGCACGCAATATTAAAGCCGACCAACATGTATTTTTTATGTTCGATAAATCCTTTATCTTAGAATATACAGCGTTTTGATCATTGACTTAAGTAAAATATATTCAGATATTTATATCCTCCAATTTCCATATAACTTGAACAAATATAGGCATATTACCACGGATTAACATATTTTGTGCAGATTTGTACTGTACTAATTTTGCATTAAACTGCCCATACATGTACATGTACGCATATGTTCAATACAACTTTTGCAGGAAAAAATTATTGACATTGTTAAAGTTTTTTTTTTTTTTTTTTTTTACATGTATACATTTAATAAATTACGTGTAATTGGTAGCAAATTTTTATAATTTGAAACGCATAAAATTTATACATATTAATTTAATTGCGATTCAACAGAAGACAACAAGGTTATTATTTTCCAAGGTAGATGCTAAATCATGAAATGTTTGTAGTAAAGTCTTTGTCGGGGAAAAAATTATTACAGGTTAAAAAATCCTTAATACTAACGGTTAAAATAAGATCATTAAAAAGAAAGTCTTTAACCTCTAAAACGTTTAATGTATACTTTCATACTGCATTGATGTTTTAAGTTAAGAGGTCTGAATGAGCACCGGAGACATTACTACATGTACATACAACAGCCTGATTCAGCGATTTTATAAATGATCGAAATTATATTGTTTTCAGGAATCCAGAACTCCAGAATCTTCTTTAGTACATGTCGATAAACCATGCACAAAAAATAATAAGTTGGAATGTTTTAAAAGTGTTCAAACGATTCGTATGAATTTGTAACAAATTCTATTAATCATAACATTTTAAGCAATGTATCATGTTTGCGATTTTTACATTCGGTGTACTGTGTATAACCTCATCTAACATATTATGAAAAGGTCGATAAACATATGTTCAATCTGTTTAATTTTCAATCATAAAATATTTTAGATAGTGGGACTGTAACTTACAATCTATGCGAGCATCCGTATATTCAAGACAAATATTTCAAGAAGTATCCAAAGAAATAGAGCAGACACGTGACACAGGAGAAAAGGGGGGGGGGGGGCGGATGTTTTCTACATTTTTTGTACAACATGAGAAGGTGTTCCACAATAAGCTCAAAGATCTTTCTTCAAAATATTCATTTTAAATCAACAGCTAAAACTAATTTGGGAAGAAGTGTCCAAATCAAATACTCTGTGTCCTATCTATAGAGAATGGTTTTTTTTTAAAATTAAACTTAACTATTTATCAATAATAGTTCACGTTTTATTTATATAAACGGCAGCGTTAACTGTCCCAACTCAGTTTATACCGTATAAATTGGGTAGCTATTTAATTCATTCCATAAATAAAAGGGAAGTTATTCAGGTCAATTTTCATTGCATCGTTATTTGAAGAAAAAAATAACTTAGTTTTATGCTCCTGTTAAATTTTTCTTGCATGTGCATCACGATGAAACAGCTGGAAATTAAATTTAAAAAAAACCTATCTTTAAAAACTTGTTTGTTTGACCTTTTAAAATGAATCGACCAAAATCTTTTTAAGACTTCGAAATTATTTATTCCGGAATTTTCTCATCCTTTCAACAACTTTCTTTTTATTTCAGAAATGCCTGTAATCTTTTTCAACACCGAAAATGTCCGACAAAAAAAAATTCGAATTACCAACCGATGCAATTTTTTAACACTAATAGGGAGAGGGCAAACAAACTTCATTTTGAAACGGCCTTACGGGAATTTTTCAGCCACCACTGGAAATCTTTAAAAAATACACAATTAATTGTGAAAAGGAAAGATCACACAGACACTTGACGGAGACGAAGTTTGTGATGAATAAACTACATCAAATTACACCCAAGAATCTGTCTTAGCATATAAATATAACAACACCCCCTTGTTCTATCGGGATCGAGAGTTTCTCTCAAGGACACTTTTTTTTACGTCGACTTTACCTTGTTGACTTTAGACGCGTCTTCTGACGTTACGTCATAATAAAGATAAGGGAGGTTTTTGCTTGGCGCGTCACAAATATTTTTATTACATATCATATGCTGATACACACAATTCGAATTATTTTTGGGAGGAGGGCATAAGCGTTTTACAAACATCTCCTGTTAATATAAAGGGTGAAGCCTCCTTACAAGGGGAGATAATCAAGAAAAGACAAAAATAGTATAAGAGAGTAAAGTCTGGTTAAGGACCGCTGAGCCAAAGCTACTCAGGTCAGCATTGTGGCCTATGGGCCTATTCTTTATGTATTTCAGCATCGTGTTAATCAATCAGACATTAATTCATTAATTTTGCAATTCAGATTGGAAAAATTTTATTCTGATAAAATTCAAGCAATTGATTGGTGCCAGGTATTTACAAGTAGAATTTTGCATTCTTTATCAGCGTGTTCATGCACTTATAATTTTCACACTATGAAATGTCACAACTTAATAGTGACAAAAAATTTTCTAAGTTTGTTTTCTTTATTTCCCTTCTAAATACAGATATCTTCATCTTTTAAAAACCTGGGCCAGTGATTTTTTTTCACACAGTAATTGGGACAAATTAATTACCACTCTGACAACTGAGACGTTCATTTTTCATGATGAGGTAAGAGTTTGTTCACTAAATCAGTGATCTTAAGTTTCACAAATATCATATAGCTGATAATTGACAGATAGTTGTGGCACAGCCTGTATGTTGAGCCATTCTGATTGGGTCTGAATTTTTGCACAACCCTGTACATTGGGATATGTTACCTATGTATACATGGATGCTCTGTTTTCATACAACAGACAGTAGCACATTATTTCGGCAGCTCTGCTCTCTCAGATGAACCTTTGAACTATAAATAGACAGTCATGTAGATGTATATAAGAATTGACTGTAGTAACCATTACGTATACAATTGCCAGTATAATGTTTGAGTGAACCTTCAGGATACACGTGGATTCTGGGTTTTTTAAAAATCTTAATAATTTTTTAAAGGACAAAGTTCATAGTTTTATCCAAAAAACTTTTTTCCCCACTGAAAGCTTGGACCTGCAGCATCAGCATGTATAATGATACGTTTGGTTCGTGGACGGCGCCACAATCTCGATGGTTAAGGTAAGTAAAAATTCTCTTTTTTATTAATTTTACAATTTTTTTTATGGGTACAAAAAAATTGTAGTTTTTTAGAAGGTTGATTGAGCATCAATAATTTTTTTTTAAAGAAAAAAAGTGCTACAGGAGCTTTTTAATGGTTTGCCAAAAATCGGAGCAGAGACAAAAAAGCGGGCCATGTAATTATTATAATGAAATAACTTTGAAAGCCATACCAGCAAGAATTTTTTTTATCATTAAGAATATAATGGTGAAAGAATTGGTAGAGAATATGCTTTGTAGAGATATTTTTTTTTTTAGACATATCAAATGTTTGCAAAAAGTGAAACTTGTCTTGACACCCTATCTTGGCCCGTTGCAGTTGGGAAATAAACTAACTGGCAAGCTCGGTTAAACATGTCTTGTGTTTGTGTAAATAAAGATGCATTTAACTTCTTGCATTTGACGAGATATTATTTGATGAAATCAACAGCTGCCCTAATCTTTAAAATTTTGTGTATTTCTAATTTTTGGAATTTTTTTTAATCACATGAGAATTTGCAGCTTGTATAAGAAATGAAATTTATTTTTTCTTCAGAGATTGACAAAATATGATAATTTTTTATGTTGATGTTAAATTTCTATATATATAATTATTAAAATAAGAAATAGATTCTACTTTCATATCATGTGATACTTGACAATTATTTTTGAATAGTAGGCATCTTTCAGTTTTAGATTTAAAAGATTGAACATTATAACTTATTTAGATATGAGTAAATCATTTTCATCTATTTAATTTTATTGACATTTGTTCCTTGAAATTCAGTAAAATTTTATTAAAAAAAAAAAATTATAGATAATTGTGATGAAAATGTCTAGTAGCTGCAATCCGGGGATTTTTAGCATTGTCTTAAGTGCGGTGGCAAAAGTTCATAATGAACAGTTGGATGGGGCTATCCACTGCCTTTACACACTGGCCAGAAAGATGTGGGAAATAAAGAACATGAGAAAAAACTATGTTAAATTGCTTCCAAATGTCTTAAGGCTGGTTGCTGTGTTCTGAATATTTTTGTTGGGTACCATTTCAAATTTCTGCCAAGAAATCTCTAGCACATTTGGGTCATGCATTAATTTTGTCTGTATAATTTTTTTCCCTCAGTTCCAAGTTGTCATAGCAAGGTTTTCAGTGATTGATCAAAAAATTGGAGAAATAAAATATTTTTCATTAATTTGGGGGTGATAATTTACATGAGTTTTGTATCATTGTAATGCAAAGTTGATGGATTTTTAAATGTGCAGAAAGATTGCTTGTATTGTTGATATGGGCAAAATATTTTCCTGCAATTAAATATCTGTGAAATATTTTTAAAACTTTTAATGTATGTAATACTCTGTTGTTAATTGATCTTAGTAAAAGACCAATGATGATGATTTAATATTTCTGAAACCATAAGCTTCTCAGGAGGTTTAAAACCTAATTCATCTTTGTGCCCTTCTTGGGACCATTTGGCAACATAAAATATTATAAATGTGAATCCAGTGAATGAGAAATGAATTTCTCTTTTTCACAATTTTTTTGTTGCATGAAAAAATGGCCATTTGTAATGTATTGTCAATGAAATTAAATTTGTAGTAGACGGTAGAAATATTTGAGTCTATCTATGTGGTAAGCAGACTGAAGCCGCTTAATTGTTGTGCAACATGATTTTGCAAAAACAAAATTTCCGGACTATTTCTTCAATTTCTCTATTCATAACAGATTAAAGTCTACTATACATATATTTTTATTTTTTTCCCAAATTGAATTTATGATTTATTTTGAGTTATATAATCTTGCTTTTATGACATGTGCATTTTTTAAAGAAGTGAAGTATTTTTCCTCCTTAAAATTCAAACATGAAGTCATTTTTGTCACATATGTCTTCATTTTAGAATTTTTAAAAGAGATAATCTTTTATGAAAATGATAGAGTTGATCTAAACAGCCAATTAAATCGCATCGGTATGTGTGTTAACATTATTCTTCACCTAGTATTCCACTGAAATCCCAAATTGTCCTATATTTATTACACAGTTTATGGAAACATTTTATTTGAAGTTGCATCCATATTTTACAATGTATTAATTTATGAAAAGCTTTGTATCAAACGAGTTATCCTACAGGACATGATAAAGAGGAGACTTGATGATGCTGTATGTATGATATTCAAAAGATATTCAGTAAGTGAATACACACTTATAGCTAATATGCCATAAACATATAAATGATGGGAAAGAAAAGTGGAAACATTTATTGATCTCAAGGATTTTTTTTTGATCAACTTAAGTGGTTTTTGTTAATTAAAAAATGCCAAAATATTTCTTACATTGAGCCAAATTTTTCAAGCGAACATTAAAATTTTAAAAAGTTTGCCTTTTTCAATCTGACCTTGATAAAGTCTAGAATTATTCTGTCCAATTCTTATCACATCAGATTACTGATAACCCTGAAATTGTTATTTTGCTATAGTATCAGAAATTTAATATTCTTTTTTTTAAAATAAAAATGTTTATCAAAAAAACAAAGCCAAAGAAAAACCAAATAAACAATCATAAAGAAAAATCTGAAAGGGAAAATAATCATATGAATACAGGAACCCATTTAAAATTTTAAAAAGTGCAGCATTGAACACATGCACATATATAAACAGAAACTCATTTAATAAATCACAAAAGGTTAGACTGACAGTATTTTTCCTTTCTAGAATAATGTTGTACAAGTAAATGTTAGCAAGGTACAAATTTAGCAATTCTTCTTTGAAATAATTTATCGGTATTTAATTTTAGTGAGATGAAATCTTAATTTTTTTTTTTTTGGTCTTGAAAGATAACAGTTACCTCCAATGAGGGTATGAATTGTTAGCCGTATTTAAGTTAAGCAATCTCAACATCTTCGCTAAAGATGCCAAAATTGAATCCTTGCTAAAATTTCTGCTTATAAAGTAGATAGTGAATACTCTATCAAATCTTATTTCAGTTGGTAAAAAAGGTAAAACATTAAAATTACATTGAATTTTATTGAATTAGCCAGATAAATGTAAATAAAAGGGATGATTTTTATTTACATTTATCCAGCTAATTCAATAAAAAAAACTTTTTTCCCCTTTAGATTGATTTGTTACGTGTTTATTGATATCTGCTTTACATGTATTAAAGTAGCACAGTGAGTGAACATTTAATTTTTCATTAATAAACCATTTAATTTAAGAACTGGGGTTCACTTTACACTTAATTGTTTTACCAAGTACATACAAAAGGCAAATCATTCTTTGCTAATTTAAAAAAAAAAAATCAATTTGCATATAACATAGGAATGTAGAAGATAATTTTATTTCCATTTAATGTGAATGAAATATATGGAGATAAAGAACAGTATTCATGCAAGTGCAGAAGTCCATTTAACATTTCAAAATAGAAGCAGAGCAAAGATGGACCTCTAAAACATCAGTGAATAAACATTTTTCCAATTTTCTATAAATTAAATGTAATTGGTTGATATCAGATCCATGAAGATTTGGGAAATCCTAATTAATCTCTCGTTTGTACAAGTTATACTGGCATGATATGTCACTATGTCTGCATGACCCAATGTAAATTCACTTCTTGTACTTTCATCTCATCTACTATTTCACAGACCTTTAAAACACAATTATCACCTAACTAGTTAAAACACAATTATCACCTAACTAGATTACAATGGGTTAAGTTTAATATTAAACATTTCCTTTAATGAGTATTATATTAGGCCAGTTAATGAACATAGAAGACTAAGGGTACTAATGAATAAAAAGAAGTATAATGATAAAATGCAATAAGCAAATTTGAATTTTGATCATGGCATTTCAACTTTTCAAAAGATATTTATTTAAGTAATTATATATATATATAGAATATTCTTAAAATATATACACGGAGCACAATTATTGTAATTTTTGATGGATGGAGACTTTAGATAAAAATATATTTATGTCAATTTTTCTGCAAGTCAAAAGAGCATTTCTAATTTAAAAGTATTTTTTCTGTATGCTAAGCAGATTTCAATAAGTGAAAAATGTTATAATGGGTTTTCTGCAACCTCATCATATTTATTTTGTTCGATTTGAGAGTTCCCGGAGTATTATAAAAGAAAAAAAAGCTTTGACACTAAATGGGAGTTGTTCTTTTTGTTTTAATATATCATAGAAGCTGGTGGCTACATGACTATGTTTCCATAACGATGACCTACATTACTCATGCATACTTAATGGTTGTGACCTTGCAATGCTTGTAGACCAGAAATTGTCTTCGGGTATGTCTACGACTTTAAAAAATCCCAGCACAAACAAATCCTTAGAAGGACAAATGTCAGGATGCGTCCCTTATACCAGATCCTCAGAAGCCCGTCTCTCGTAAATCTCCAGCTTTGCGTCCTTGTAATGCTGTCCCTGGGGGCACCTGGCAATGCAGATGGATGCTGAGTAAATTTACATCACGTATTCGGGTAGATAATAGGATACCAAGAGTGTATTGGTTATATAATGCTTGTTTGGCTCATTGGGCACTCCAGGGTATATAGAAAATTTGATTTAAGACTGATACAACCTAAGAAGAGGGCAAATGAACTTGTCCTTTAAGGTCGTGCTATCTAGGCCATTTCTATTCACAGTTCAGTCTATTTTCAGAGGAAGATTGGTGACTGTTCATTGAGTGATTTGCATTCCTGATAAATGCATTAATTCTATCATTTTAGATGGATTTAACATGAATCTGATTGTGTCTTTCAGTTCAAAATTATCATTATGAAATCGGAATCCTATTATAATATTTCTTTTTTTCTACCTATACCTACCTTGATTTCTTCAAATGAAATGCATTTCTGTGTTTTTGCTCATGCAGGGATCATGGGGTATTTATTAATAGAATTAAAGAAATGATTCTTTAAAATAAGGAAATGTGTGAATGATTAGTCAATGAATAGTTATATTTTTTTTGATATAAAAAGAT